TCGTTGAATATGGCGACGTCTACGAGTATCATTCTGTGAATCATAGATCATTTTTTTCTACTGATACGTCAATTTTGTAGATGATTGTCAGAAAGGGGGCTTTTTGCACCTTGTTTGGATTTCTTGAGCACAATTTTTCGCCCATATTTCACAGTTTTTTCTCATGTGAATTGCTTATATAGCTCTATTTTGCTGATCACCCGATGTCGAGATAATTTTGCAAATCAAAAATGCTCCTGCCAGTCAGATGTTTCATAAATGAGATTTCGGTCAACTGGTGAATTGCACGTATATCTTTAAAATGAATTATCTGTGGCAATCTATAGTCAAACCGAACAGCACGGCTTAGGAAAAACTGCTGAGAAGGTGAGCGTGAATTTTTGAGTCCTTGAATCCATTGAAGCCCTTTGTGATAGGTTTAAATGCTCACACAGCGCTTCTTATCCCCTCCCTAAGAAAAAAAATAGGGTTTTCCCAAATCTCTTTCAGACTGTTGTTTTACTCAGTTTTTTTCTAATTCAAATCGAGTTTCACCAAAATGCTGTGGTATGTTGGAAAAAATGCTCCAGTACCTATAGCCATCACATTGTAGCGCGATTGGTCGCCTTTTAAATGAAACGGGGTATCGCAAAGTCATGTCTCGATAGGAACTTCATGCATTGACCAACCACCCCACATTATAAAGTTGACTCACCACATTTTGATGAAGCTGGGCTCCATATGGTGCAAAATCCATCGCATAGTCATGATATTGCTCCATCGGATTATCATCTTCCGCGCCTTGAAGCAGTTCTGCGGGAGAAAAATTAAAAAGCTGCAGCCACATTGAGTGTCTTCACCGACTTCTTTAATCGTCATCCTCGTTCTTTCTGTAGGATTCCCATTCAATCGTTCCAACAAATGATAGCATATGTTTGATCATGATGGTGATATATTGTTGATTGTTTTATTTCTTTGAATTAATAATAGTTTGTTCAAAGAAATTGTCGAAATACGAAATAGATCAAGAGGCTATCCGATAGTTTAAAATAGTTTTTGAAGTTGAATAACAAATCTTTAATTGATTCCTACGGTAACGAAGATTTTTTTGCGTCCTAAGCTTATTTTCCAAACTAATCGCACTCAGATCTCCGTCTTTGCTCTATTATGCTCCTAGAAAAACGGTACTGAATTACACTGACGCTTTTAAAATACAATGGAAAAAGTTCATAGAAATGTTAGATAAGAATATCTATACGCTTTGCATGAAAGAGATTGGTGTAGGGCAGATGAAAGAAATCATGTTCGCAGTTTATCTATAAACACAGCACTCGCCTAGAATTGTTCGTCAAACACTGATAGATCCCAGTTCATTTCGATACCACATCGCGACTTTTGCATGCAGTGAAAGTAGAGATATGAAGTAGTTAGAAATTACCAGAAACTAATTCAATATGGACTGTATCGAAGGAATGTTGAATAACAGAATTTTTCCGAATATGTTCTTGAAAAGACAAAAGTGAGGTTTACTCTGTTTTAGTTCCTTGAGCTGCACATTACTGCTATGGAAAAACTTAGTGTTGATTGCGATTTTCAGCATCAAGAATGAGCGCTACTTTATTCAAATTCGAAGCTCAGAAAAGGAATCTGTTCTGCTGATTGATGAAAGCTTTTATCAAAAGACATGTGAGGTGCCCTTTATCATGATATAGTTTCAGTTCTATTACCTACTACTCCAGCTTCTCCGATGCGGCAGCTGCGAGATGGTCATCGTGATTGAAAAGTAGAAGCATATTCAGTGTAGATTTGGAGGTTAACATGAGAGGCTCATAGTATTCAATTAAATTGCTTATAACATAGTAGCAATCTAAAGCAAAATTTCTACCCAAACACTTTCAGCGGGCAGAAAAAGTTCTTCTCTAGTGTTTTTTTTTTTGGCAAAATCGAATGGTCGTATGGAGAAGGTGGCTGTTCGAGCCATCAGAAAACGCTGATAAAATGGTACTCGATAAAGATCTTGTAGGGGGCCTTAAGTATGCTCATGACGGTTTTACTAGTATCAGTAAACGAGAAATATTTTTTGCAGCCGAATCAAATGCAAAGCTCAAGGACTTGTGGACGATGATGTCAGGATTCAAATCGAATTCAAGAATCCACAAAATGGCCCACAAGATGTGTTTCATGTGACATCGGGCCATGCAGAACTGTCGTCGCGCAGATCATCTCTTTAGTGCGATCACTTCAACAGCAAACTTTACTAGCTTATCGCTGCGACGCTGCTCGCCTGATATGCTACGTTGATCTTGCTAAAGCGCTCTTACTTGCAAAAGCTAGGGTTGTTATTCGGTGAAGAACTTGCCGCATTGCAACAACTGTTTTTGGAAAGGTGCTATTTCATTGCGTTTGTTCACTATATTGTCAAATGAAAACGCCGAACTAATTTTTGGCGGTTACTGGAGGAATGAGCGAAATGTGTCACATGATCTCGTAAAATAATCGGCAAAGACCAGATGAGATTAGACAAGACTCCAGAAAGGAATTTCAAACGTAGTTCATATTGACTAAGATCAAATCTTCATCTAAGTAAAAATTGTGACAGAAATCTTGACTTCAATGAAAGTGAGTCAGTAATCACAGCAATGAACTGTGTTGTGTCACTTACAGACAATGATTCGGCGAAGAAATTGACAGTGCGGAACAAAGCGTGACTTCGAGCTATTCAAGGGTACTACTCACCATTAATAATAATTTCTCTGTTGATTGAGCGAATAGCACAAATTTGATAAATATAAATTTATCTAGCTGAAGTTTCTACGTCTTGGCCTTCCTCAGAGTCGATGGTTTAAGACGATTGACTACAGGCTTTCGTCCACGATTTGAATGCTAGAAGTACTGACATCTGCATACTGAAAGATAAGCTGTGAGACCGAGTAAATAAAATATGAACGAAAAGTGTACTAATAAACAACTTTGATTTTCTCGTTGAAAGAAACACGAATCACTGAACAATTGTTGAATTGATATAACTTTGTTTCAAAGAGGAATTTTGAAATTTCGTCATCACAAATCCCAGTAGGCCATAGTACGCCGGAAGTTGAATTGGCTGGCTGAAGTCATATCCAGTTGTCACTCACAAAAATCCATTCTGGTCTCAGTTCGACTTTTTCTCAAGAAAAAAGTTACATTGTTTGGTAGATCTTTCATAGGCACTTATAAAGTGAAATGCACCTGCTTTGGCCTTGTAAAATCGTCAATTGCACCGTATTCTTCGTCTAAGTCGATCCTTTTCGTTGGTAAACTCTCCTACATAGAGATATCGTCGACGAACATGTTACAGTGCAAGTATGTAAAGTGGAAGTTCGTTGCACACACAGCAGCAATGACATATACACTATACGTGCAGTGACATGATGACAAGACATTGCAGTAATTAACAGTTAATTTTAACAGTTACTGTCAATGTTGATCACTGCAATGTCCACTTATCATGTCACTGGACATGTAGTGATATGCTATTTCTGCCCTAAATGAAGTGATTTTTCACTTTACAGGCGTGCAGTGTGACTGTTCGTCGACGATTCCTTCATCTAACGAGATTCTCCCCCGAAAGAGATAGGCTCAGAGGAAGGGCGCCGTGTAACTGAAGGGGCTACAAGGCCGAAACACGGGTATTGTACTGTATGAGTGCCTATGAAAGACCTCTTGAAAAGCTCAAATATACGCTGTCAGGTTATATTGTTTTGAGCGAGGTCTGAAAAAAACAGTACAATACGAAAAAGTCTGAGTAGAGTCATTCTCAACTTTTTTGCAAAAATAGTTAGGAACTAATCATACTATTGCCCTGTCTTATTACATCTCGACAATACTTCATTTATTCAGCAAACTTCCAAGGACATTTCTTGAATATCAACAATGGGAAAAAGTAGATATGGTGTCTGGTTTTGAATAGCTTTTTTAGGAATGTCCCCATCTACTTCATTGCGTATTTAAATTTATCAAGTCAATATGCTACCCTCTCAGACAGTTTTGATTTGTTGACTCCGAAGGTACGAAGAGTTTGATGAGTCGTTAGGACTGATGCGGGACATACAGCATATAAGCACGGAACCCTTTGGCGCTGCGCTACACTCTTTCCTAATTTTCAGTGCATTTTTTGAATATACGAAAATGTCACGAAGAACACTAAAGAAGAAGACCTCTAATGGCTTAAACTGATGTGAATGACGTTTGCACACAACGACCAGTCAGCACAAGTAACGAAATTCTGTGCCAAAAACAAAAAGTCTCAAACTAGTTGCCAATCCAGTAAACGATCTCGGAAGATTATCAAAGTGAATGTCGTGTATCTGTTTAGCAGTTATCAGCGTACTAACTAACACAAATTATTATTTGAATTAGACTCACGTAGTTTGGAAGGAGAAGCTGAGTACATCGGTTGGAAATAAACTGTTTGGAAAATGTGCAATTTTCTAAAGTTAGCGAGCGAATCAGAATGGGATCTTATCTTTTCTTGATAACATCCACAGTACCGATTGTACGTTTGTTCAACTTCTCCTATGGTCAGACTTCCGACTAACACTTATGAGAAGTGTGGTGTATACGACATCCAATAATGTGTAGTTAGGAGAGCATGTGAAACCACCCATCATCACATCGCTGACATTGGAGAGGACATATAAGCAAATAAACGCAAAAGAATCCTGACATATCTCGTGGTTTAAAGTCACTAAGGTTATTAATGACTGTTTCATCACCTGTTTAACACAAAATGGAATAGAGAAACGTTATGAGTTGTTCAATAAATAGTCGGAGTTCATGAAATTTATCTGGAAGAGACCAATTGAAACCGGACTTCCTTTATGCAACGTTCGAATGAGTCTATACAAAACCGACTTCACTGAGTGATACCGAAGGCCAAATAACAAGAACATAATTAATCCGAAATCATCTACCGACACCGTAAACGCTTGGCTGTTGTCAGATAACGCGCTGTAGCGTAGAAAGAGTGAAGTGGAAAACGAGCTTTGGTGGTGCAACGGTTTAGCATATGCTCCTGGAAAGAGTAAGATATGATTTCGAATCCCGCCTAACGCAAACGCTCTTGCACACCAGTCTACATAATAAGAACATAATTGTTCACTATTTCTTTTCTCACCTTTAACAAGGAAAAGGCACGCTTGTGCGAACCTTTTTTCGAAAAGTCACTAGTACGTGAGAAGTAAAAGAGTGAAAAGAAGAACCTGTGAGATAAATTTCATAATAAACCATTTCCAATGGCAACGAAATGGTAACTACTCGTGATAGGCCCAAAGGAAATTGCTCCTCTCCTGCATTCCCCAAACAATAGATCTAATGATAGTAAAGTCTTAGTGACCATTCAATTCATTATCAACCAGTGATGTTAAGAATGGGCCGGGTTTGCATAAATCAACTGCAGTGATTGAAAAACTGCATACTTTGAGATGGCAATCAATTCACAACGTATTTTATGACAGTCCGGAAATCGCCTGTTGTCCTGTTGGTCGTCAAGTGACTCAAGCGTATACTAGTAATACTTTCATTTCTCCCTATTGCGTGCACGAGAAGCCAAGTGGGTCTTCCCTGCTGAAGGAATTCATTGAGCATCATGTCTTTCTTGCGCGATTATTGTAACAAAATCATGCCATGTTGGGGGAGGAGGGGGGTAGGGGTAATCTTCATGTCGTGCGCTTGACATCTCAAGGAATGCAAGCGGTAACGGCTCTTGTCCATCAGTTGTCGTTCGAAGGGCAATGCGTGTCTGGGCCACCTTATCTTTTATGGCCTGGCATGTAGAATGGTATCTTTGATTTTCGTCTGTCAACATAGGTTAAAACTTCGAATACTTTCTCTTACTTGCAAGATATGGAAGTACTCCTAGCATCGACGCTTTAACTCCATTCAATAATGCCGAGTGACGGTCTGTGTGTAACAGAAAATTGCACAATTTGTCCTAGCGGCAGAGATGGCGGGTCCACAATTTGGATTGCAGTGTAGCGAATTTCTAGGTGTGTCGGAAAGAATAGGTTCAAGCAACAAATACAGTTCAGCCGCTTTTTTTTTGATAGGCAGATTCGAGGACATTGATAACAAGATCTATTGAATGCTATAGCAATACAGCACATCAGCATTACAATGACTGACGTATCACACCTTGGGAAGGTCAAATTGATACTTAATCCACTTAGTCAGACACTCCATCAAAGTAGTTGAAAGATGTGATGAGCAAATTTTATTTGAATAACATAGTAGAAAGCTCCTTATAAAACACGGCACTCACCTCATGGAAAGAATGGAATATCAGGTGTACAAATATAATTCCGCCTTTCTGTGCTGTAATAATAGATAAAAATAAAGATATGCAAATTCTTTTTTCTTCTGTTCGAAAGTGCCTTGAGAATGCACTCAAATGTTCTTTATATACCAAATATTATATATGGTGGCTTTTATGGGAGCTTGAAGATGACGACTTTTGTATCCCAAAAATGCCATTTTTCAAAACTCGCTAGTTTCAAATTTGAACTCAGTAATTCCAAGTGGTAATCTGACATTGCAATGCTGTGAAACTAACGCTGGCAAGGTCAAACCACCTAAAAACTTCCATCTCAGCTTTTTAATGAAGTTTTCAATCGGCGTCTGTAACACATAATCGAGCGCTATCATGCAGCAAAATTGCAATGCCCATGCCGTTTTGATTTCTAAATATGATTTTCAATCAAACTGCACACCTTAGTGTCGTTCGATTGAAAATTCTCTTGCGAAGATTTTGGTATACAACTTACCTTAATTGCTCTAAGATGGAGCTTCGCTCTATTGATCTTCTGCGCATTTCACTAGCATTTTCCCCTAAGCATCATTCGCGCGTGAGTAGCAAGCGAATTCCATCACACGACAGCTTCATCTTGAAGCAAATATGCTTATATCATATTACATATTATATTAGCAAGTATGCCTATACTATGTTTCGGTATACTACACCACAGAGGCACATTTGCGCCACCACTCATTATTCAACATCTAGTGATATCAGCACACGTCTCCGGTATGGATGAGACGCGGGTTCGATTCCAACTGAGGCCGTGTTTTTGCTCACCACTTAATTCTCTTAGGTCCATATGTAACATCATAACACTATGAAAAAGCAATAAAAATACTACATTTTCGGAGTATTTCAACGTAATCCGATAACATTCTAGGTGTACAAATATGACACCGTAGTTTTTTCTTCTGTAATAATAGTGAAAAAAAGATGTGTGAATTTTTTGTTTTTCGTTCGGAAGTAGGTCGAAAACGTTATTTATTTATTTGATTTTATAGACAAAATATTTTATATGGCATTTTTATCGGACTTTGATGATGAACGACTTCTGGACCCGAAAAACGCCATTTGTTGGAACTTTACGTTACAGATTTGTCAGCCAACCTATTTGAAATTGCTTGGTTTTAGAATCGTTCAATTGCGCTTTTTTCGTGCGAGCATGTTGGTATACTACACCACAGAAGCACATTTGCGCCACCACTCATTATTCAACATCTAGTGATATCAGCACAAGTCTCCGGTATGGATGAAACGCGGGTTCGATTCCCAACTGAGGCCGCGTTTTTGCTCACCACTTATTTCTCTTAGGTCCATATGTAACATCATAACACTATGAAAAAAGCAGTAAAAATACCAGAGTTTTGCAGTGTTACATCTAGCAATGGCTGCCAGCTCAATTGGGTTTATAAAGCGAAATCGCATACTCGATCAAACCTGTTAAAGGTTGGTGGCTGATAGCTAACAAGATGTTGAAGAATGAGAAGTGGCGCAAATGTGCCTCGGTGGTGTAGTGGTATCAGCACGCGACCTCGGTGTGGATGAAAGGCGGGTTCGATTTCGCCTGGGGTCATGTTTTTGCTCACCACTCAATCCTCTTAGATTACGTTGTTTCAGAGATCTCGAAAACTCTGTCCAAAAATGCCTGTTTATCACGTCCTTCTCCTAGGGTTTCTGAAAGCAATTGCGTGAGTGCACTGCACATCAATTTGACCTCTTGTGGATCTCAAGAAGTGAAACCCGTTGAAACGTCAGTCATTGTGTCACTGTTGTGCTGAACTCCTATTGTATTCTTCTTTAGACACTTTACTGATTCCAGCTTTATAGTGTTTTTCACTGTGCGAATGCGAGAACTTCTAGCTTTGAATTCGTTTTTCCTTCGTCTTCTTCTTGAATACGACGAAGAATGCTGCCTGAGCGAGTCTCCTTGCAATCCCGAGTATATAGCTGGCTGTGGCGTTTCATAGGACGCAGTTGTTGACTTCCTGAGAAAACTTGGGGGAGGGGGTGGGATGTAGGGAGGTGGAGCTTGGCTCTAGCGCGCGGCGCGACGAACATCACCCACTCGACCACGACGCCCCAATATAACAAACAACAAATTGGTAAAATTTCTAACAAAAGACAAAGAATTAGGCCGTTGACGTTGATCAAACTTTTGGGAAAGCACCATGTGCTCGACTGCTTTCGTAGCATCACATAGATGAATTGTTGCTTACCCGACCTCTACAGTGACTTTCGGTGGCATATTCAAAGTAATTAAGCCTGTGTTTCTATCCTCTCAGGACTGTCATTTTCACACCTAATAATGAAGTGGAAAGCTCCGAGGAAAGAGATTGAATTAATGACTGATCAAGTCTGAAAAGGCTAGGATTCCACAGATAACAACTTCTGAAGGAAGAGGGGAGGGCGGCAGAGCAACATATATTACCCCTAAGAGACGACTATGAAAATCGATGCGCGCAGAGCAAAATACGCGATTTTTGCTATTTGATTAAGGATTTTTCGCCGTTTTGCTAAAATTTTTGGAATTCTCGTGTTACTTTGGTAGAAAACGATTTTCTTTTCCTCCAATGAGTTTGGTTTAGATATGTATGTCTTGTATAGAGAAAAACGCTGGTTTAATACGGAATTATGCTGAATTTGACAATTAATCAACTGTGTTAAATTGATGACGAACGACCTAGCTCCAGAGTTGAGCAGGAAGAAACGAGCTGCTTGGGTAACGCTTAAAAGCATCGAAGATGTAGTGAAGAGGACTAAGAACATCCCATTCTGTGCCCGCCTTTTCGACTCGACGATTATCCCTGCCCTAACGTATGCAGCAGAAACCTGGTCGCTGCGTAAGCAGGATGAAAGTTCACTTAGCTTTGTTGAACGCGCAGCCGAAAGGTCGATGCTAAGAGTATTCCGTATCTCGCAAATGAGAGAAAGGATTCGAAGTTCCGACCTACGTCAACGATCGAAAATCAGAGACGCCGTTCTACACGCCAGGATATCGAAATTAAGGTGGGCCGGACACGTGATGCGCTTCAACGACAATCGATGGACGAGAGCCGTTACCGGCTGGATCCCTCGCGACATCAAGCGCTCTACGGGAAGACCACCGACCCGCTGGTCCGATTTCTTTACGGAAGTTCTAGAAGGAAGATATGCAGCTCAGCAAATCCCTAGAGCGAAGAGGACCCACGAGGCTACTCTTGCACGCGATAGGGAAAAAGGGAAGTGCTGCTGGTACCTGCTCGAGTCACTCGACGATCAACGGGACGACAGTTGACAGGTGACAGGTGATTGGATTGCATCGAGGACATCGCAATAAAAAACTCTAGTTTCAATCTACATAGTTTTATACAAGACCCAAGAGCCATCATACCTGTATCACCTGTCGTCCCGTTGATCGTCGAGTGACTCGAGCGGGTACCAGCAACTCTTCCATTTTTCCCTATCGCGTGCAAGAGTAGCCCAGTGGGTCCTCCTTGCTCTAGGAATTCGCTGAGCATCATATCTTTCTTCCATCGCTTTCGTGAAGAAATCGGACCAACGGGTCAGTGGTCTTCCTTTAGAGCGCTTGACGTTCCGAGGAATCCAGTCGGTAACGGCTCTCGTCCATCGGTTGTCGTTGAAGCGCATCACGTGTCCGGCCCACCTTATTTTCGATATCCTGGCGTGTAGAACGGCGTCTCTGATTTTCGATCGTTGACGTAGGTCGGAAGTTCGGATCCTTTGTCTCATTTGCGAAATACGAGATACTCCTAGCATCGAC